ATATAATTATTATAGATAGTTAATATTTTGGGGGTATAATTATTATAGTATATATAATTATTAGAATTATTATAGACTTTATAGTTAATTTAATATATATATATATATATATATATATTATTTATTTATTTATTTATTATAGTTTTTAGGGGTATAAAATTGTTAAATTAATGTATATAATTATTACAGTATTTTTTTAGGGTTATAAAATTATAAAAATAATATTCTGCTTATCGTGTTTTGTGTTACCCACGTGCATACCCGAATAACCCGTTATCTTAACAGGTGCTTATCGAGTTACCCGATAACGACCCAATTCGTTATCGTGTCGACCCGAACACCTGTTAATTTCGTGTCATGTCGTGTCGGGTTATCAGATCGTGTCAGGAATTGCCAGGCCTAATGTATTCAACTAGGAATTTAATATAGTTTAATGTAATTAGTAAACTCCGCGGATCTCATGAATTTTAATTGATTCATAGAATCAGTTGAAAGTAAAAGGATTTGATATGAATTTTGTTATGAAGTTTAATGGTTTTTATGGAGTTTAATATAGTTATTGGGTAACCTTTTTTTTTTTTTTTTGTAAAAGTAAAATCTTTATTGAATTGATTGGAATGCAGGCCACAAATTCAATTCTTGCTCTAATTCTTTGTCCTCAATTTCACTTTCTTGTTCATCATCCTCAATTTCTTCATCCCTATTTCCCCCTCAATTTTGTCCTCCTCCAACAAGTCTTCTTGAATTATATTATCACCCCATTCATATTTTGAGACATATTACCTACACAATCACCTAAGAAAAATACATGAATATGATGTTAAAGGGTTAACAATCTACATATCTTCAAATTAAAGTGATTCATTTTTTCAGAACTACAACATTGATAAAATCTCTAACCACACGTCTTGTCTTGCAAACTATAAAATCGCAAAAATAAAAAGAGAAAGATTTATGTAATCAAATTTGTCGTACTCATAATGAAAATCATTTACACAAACACATAGCATATTGTGTGTATAGTACGTGAAGAAAGATTTTTGATGAATTTGTTCATATTTTGTAGTCGGTTTTGAAAATAAGGAATCACGTTGAAATATGGAGGATGGGTGCCTGATTTGTGAGGACCTTTGATATTTATACCTCACACTCTAGAATGATCAAAATCAACAAATTTATTGAATCCTACAAATTTCTTGACAATTTGAAGACTCTTTGATTCGGAAAATCACTATAAAAATCCAGATTGAATACCACCAAATTTTAACTGACTCTATATAAATCTAAATTGAATAAAACCTACATTTCATTGGCTCAATTAAAATCTTAATTGAATACCCATGAATTTTCAAACTCTTTTAAAATATTACATAATCCTAATTGAATACAACCCCCTAAATATAGATGATAACTTAAATGTCATATCCTTATGTTTTGGGTTTATTCCAAGGACTATGATTGAAATGACGACGTCAATGTTTCTAGTCAACTTCAAGAACGACATTGATCGATTTTCAACTTCAGAGACCAAAGTGTCGAGGGTGTCAATTTAAGGGATCATTTGTGATAACCCAAATTAGAATTCTTGAAAACCCAATACTAAAATAGGTTATTCCAAGAATTAAATTGAAGGCTATAAACCCTAATTTGAAATTAAAGCTATGAGAGAGAGTTTAGATTAGGAGTTGAAATCTAGAAGCTTTATGAAGATATCCAACTCAAAATGCAAATTGACGAATATAAATCCACAAATTACAACTTCAAACTTTAACAAAAAATGAACATGGAATCTATTGATTGCTACCTATATCTAGTTAGGGGTAGGCAAATTGGCCTTGGACCCTCAAGTCGAGACAGGTCCATGTGGTACAGGACAAGTACGCGGTGCATCCAAAAAATCTAAACACAAAACAATGCCAGGCAGGGCGGGTCCATATAATTATCGTTCTGGGTCAGGTCCAAATTGAGATTGCATCTAAGAAATGCCAACTAACTTTATTCAGGAAAATCCAGACTTTTGAAATTCGAAGAAGGGTGCCTTTTTGATTTTTGAACAAATGGCCATGTTGCTTGTCCATTTATAGAGGCATCAATTGTACCCAAAATTTATGCTTGGAAAGTTGCCCGCTTGTGGAAATTGCCCTTGCTGTATTTCTGAGATTCCAATTTATCTAACTTATTTTTCTTTCATTATTCTTCTAAAAATGGCTTGCCCATCTAACCGTTGTTTTGATTTAAATATTGCGGAAGATACGCACATGCCTTTTCAGGATAATATATGGTGCCCATCATTCTTATTTTTTAAAGGTCATTTTACGGTTGGAGACTTTGTGATGAAGAATGATATAACCGTCATAGTAGTAACTAGGAATCTTCTCTTCCCAAAGATAAAATAATACTTTAAAAAAGATTTGATGAATTAGCTGTTTAGGAATTTTTGGCTTTCAATGTTAAGTGTGCGAGTTCTTTATATAACATGGACCAACGTCTACATGCTTGAACTTGCCAGGTTGAATCACTAATGGTTGAGGTGGAATGTCTTAGACAAGAGATTAGAGAACTCAAGCATGAGAATAGAGAGTTGCACATACTTGCAACTAATTATTTGACGAACATGAGAAGAAAGCTCGACCAGTTTAAGGAATCCAATGGTCGGATTCAAAGTGATCACCAGAGGTTCGTGGCTATATTCCAAAGACATTTGGTGCCTCCATTTCTGAGTTTTTCCAAGTACTAGGGCATCGCATGATCAACCTTTGTGAAATCTCATTTCTTTTATTTGTTGTTGCAGTTGTAACTCATGTGTATGTATAGAAAAATTCTCTCCCTTCTGGTTTTATACATGCCTGAAACTTCTAGTTCAGCTTGTTAGATATAAAAAACTCTGGAAATTTTTGGTTCCATCAAAATGAATCATGAGTTTTTAAGTAAAGATGTTTCCTAATATCATTTCCCACATAAATTTTCGGGCATCAAGAATCTATGAAAGTATTTCTTGCCTACGATGTCGACAGTAACAAAATTGAATTTTGCTAAGTTCACTATTTTCTTATTCCCAAAAAGGAAGAAAGTAAGGTATGACGAAAATTGCGAGAATTAATTCATTCCATATAAACATATGTCTGCACAAAGTGTTAAAACTTCAAGTTATTAACATTATTTGTATTTTGAACTTCAGGTCAAAACATTATACACATGTACTCGAAATTTATTCTTAATATCCACATTGTTGGAACCTTTAGGTTGATATTTTTGGAACTTATGCCATACTTAATCTGTACATGGATTAAGGAACTTTTGGTCCTCATTTACATGAATCAAGGAACTTTGGGTCTGATCTTTTTATATGATGAGAATCAATGAACTTCATGTCCGATATTTTTATATGATGAGGATCAAAGAAATTCATCATAACAAAATGTTGTAAAATAAATAAATTAAAGCAAAGAACGGACATGAATATAAAAGAACGACAATAGCTTTAATTCAGCACTATCCACATAAATATAAAAGCTTAAGGTAATGGTTGTTATTATGAAAAGAACGACATGCTGCAACCAGTCACACACACACGCACGCACACACATATATATTAATATAGGAAGGGTGATGATGACCAATCTGTACCATCATACATAAATATATAGCCCATGATAGGCGATTATATCGCACCAATCGTATTAATAACAAAATTATTAATAATAAGGCTACACACAACCCTAGGCTAAAATCCAAAATACCCCACTTATTCCCCCCTGGCAAACCCAACTTAACCCAAGCCAAATCTTTGGGCTAAAAGCCAAATGCCAAACCAAGGCCAAATACCACCCAAGATTTAGCCGACAAACGCGTGGACTCATCCAAAATTACCCCACTGTCGGCCCGTTCACTCACCCACTCGCCCCACGCAGCCCGTGAGCCTTCAGCGCCCAACAGGGGGGCCTATTGTCAAGGCCACTGTCGGCCACAACCCAGAGCCCAAAGGCTCTTTTCTGCATCCAACGGCTAGCATTTTTGGACTGTTGGTTGATCCAACAGTCCATATTCAAATTTTGTTTTTTTGAAAAATGTTATTTTAAAATACATTGAATCCAACGGCTGAGATCGAATATAATCAAATCTAATGGTAAAAAAAAAAGATTTAAGGGCCCAAATTTAAATTCAACTGCTAAAATAATGAAAAATAATTATTTAACTCAAAATTCACCGAAAAACTCTATAAATACCTATGTATTTGTTCGAACATCCACACAAAACTCAATTTTCTCGTACAATTCTTCCAATTTTTCTTTCTACCATTTCTTTCCATTTCCAAATTGTTTAACATCACAAGAGAGCATATTAGAGGTCGTAATTGGACCTGTGAGGAAGATGTTGTTTTATGGTTGGCATGGGTTTCTGTTAGCGAAGATGGTGCAGTTTGCACAAATCAAAATAAAAAGGTTTTGTGGGATAAAATCATTGAAAAGTTTCATGAAAACTGCAACGGCGGCGGGAGGGATGGTGGTGGTGTTTACGATCGGTGGAAGACTATCAACGAAGTATGTACTTTATGAAAGGGAAGCTTGGAGAGAGCCGTGGTTGGCATGACTAGTGGAAGGAGCGCCACAGAAATTGTGAGTTTTTTTCTTGATATTTTATTTGCCATGTACATAATATTATTTTGCAACTAATTGTTTTAATGTATTTTTTTTTTGCATAGGGTGACAAAGCAATGAAAATTTACATATTTTCAGATTAAAATGTTCATAAAATTAATTTACGATAGTCTACATAATTTTTTTTTTAAAGTTAATTTAAGAAGAAAAAAAATTAGCCTAAGTTTATTTTTTAATAATCCCGGACTAAAATTTTAGGTTAGAAGAGTTGAAATAGAAAAGTTATTTTTGGGTTAAAAACTAAAAGCTAAATTTTTTGGACTAAAAAATTTGACTTTTAAGCCAGGTTAGAGATACTCTAAAGCAGAAAAAAATAAAAAAAATTTACAAAAAACACCCAAATCTTATAAGTCATTTGCTCTGCTCTCATGGATCTCTCTCTCAATATCACTCTCCTCTCTCACTTCTCATTCGGACAACGAAGTCCCTCTCCTACCCTCCACCTCCTTTCCAATCTTTCTCACCAACCATCATTCTCTCACCATCGCTCTCTTCTCTAGTCTTCTCACTTCTCAGTCTCAAAGCCGAAGTCGATCGAAAGTTTGAAATCCTAGAAAAAAACTAGTCACGTCATTCTTTCCTCTAGTCGTGTCATCTCCTTTCTCCAGTCGCAATCGCCACCACTCCAATAATAAATGGTAAGTGAATCTCTTGAGTTTATTTGCATGTTATAAAATTAAGGTTTTGATTTTTAATTTTTAGATTCAAATTAGGATCGGAATTGGGGGTTTACTGGAAAACTGTTGTTGATCTGGAAATTGGGCTTTAGATTCAATTGTGCATAAGGTTTCGATGTTTTCTTTTTGATGTAGTGTAAATTAATTGGGGGTTGAATGATATCTCTGTATTTGTGTGTACTGTGTGTATGTGCATGTCTGTAATGTGTGTAATCTGTGTGTGTGTGTGTGTATGTAATGTGTATCTGTATGTGTAATTTCTGTGCATGCGCATGTGTCGGTGTGCGAGTACGCGCGTGCGCAAGTGCGTGTGCAAATGTCTCTGTGTGTGTGCGTGCATGCGGGTCCATGTATGTGTGTGTGCGTAATTTGTTGAGTGTGTGTAATCCAAGGTTCTAAAAAATACTAAGCGTTAGTCGGCTAACGGGAAAGGGTCTAGTGTTTATGACACACCCCGACCCAGAAAGTCCACTTGGACCCTGAATCAAGCTGTGCTGGCCGACACCTGGAAGGTGACGAAGCCATAAAATGTGATGGTGTATAAAAAGTGAATGAATTTGAATCTAAAAGTGTCTAAATACCAGAGTGCGCTATGAGTGGGAGCGAACCCATTTCACACGCGATGTCAGAGCATAAGTAAGGTACAGTAATGTGGGTAAGAATCATACCCTCAAAAATATCCATCAATACTAAGATTCGCCACATATTCTTGTCGATACAAATTCAGCAGCTAAAACCTGGAGGGCACCAAACAGAAGGTGTGAGTAAGCAATAAAACCAAGCTTCCCAAAGTTACTACCTCTCTAAAAGTAATGCCTCTAAATGTAAAATCCGTATCGTTTTCCATAAGACAGTACAACATATATACATATATCCAAACCATACTCAGAAATGACCAAAACCACGGTTTGCCATCAAATCCACCATACATTAATAAGTAGGCCAAATGAACTAAATCAATACAAAGTGATATATCAGTCAGAGTCATCTAAAATGACATGTACAACTTATCCGTATCTCATCAATCATGGCTAGCATATAAGTCGGAGTCACCTATAGTGACATGTACGACTTATTCATATCTCATCAATCATAGCTAGCATATAAGTCGGAGTCACCTATAGTGACCTGTACGACTTATCCATATCTCATCAATCCTGGCTAGCATATAAGTCGGAGTCACCTATAGTGACCTGTACGACTTATTCATATCTCATCAATCATAGCTAGCATATAAGTCGGAGTCACCTATAGTGACCTGTACGACTTATCCATATCTCATCAATCATGGCTAGCATATAAGTCGGAGTCACCTATAGTGACCTGTACGACTTATCCATATCTCATCAATCCTGGCTAGCATATAAGTCGGAGTCACCTATAGTGACCTGTACGACTTATCCATATCTCATCAATCCTGGCTAGCCCATAGCTCAATAAGTATACCTGCACACGAGTCGGAACCACCTAAAGTGGTCTGTACGACAGGCCTGGGTGTAAATAAGTGCTACGATCACGTGAAGACTGGGCGAATAATCGCGGGTCACCTACGAGTCGGAACCACCTAAAGTGGTCTGTACGACAGGGCTGTGCACCTACCTTGAATCCAAGGTGAGCATAAGGTGCGGGAGGTGAACATCACGTGAAGGACTGTGCCCTGGCCACGGGCGGGAGCACTAACACCGGGGTGCAGGTTTATGAGCTCTCAATGCATCTCAATATAACATGTGCAACTCATGGCAACCAGTACGACAGTATCGAAGTTGCCTAACTCATAACTGTAGTCATGCTATAACGTAATCGATTCAACTAGTACCATAAACTCACCTGAACTTACCTGGGTGTCCTGAGTTCACCTTTGCACTTGAAAGCATTCCCAATAATTATATGCAAGTAATATACATATGGATATATCATGATGCAATCTAATACTCAACCATGTCGAAACATTCTCAATTATAAACAATACGGTGTGAAATGTACAATCAATAACGCTCTACTCCCGAACTACTTATTTTCAGGGATAATTATCCATAATAACCCAATTAACACTAATTAACTAACTAATTCACAAAACTAAAACTTGTCTTTATCAATTTCCTTCGCATTACTCAATTTCCCAAATAAGGCTTTTGTCTCAAATATTTTATGGCTGCATCTAACGTCTCGTTAGACTGCCTACGTACCCTAAACAGGGATCAAGCCATTCGTAGTTCATATAGGTACTTCAAGCATTCACAATAATTATATGAAGGTAATATACCTAATCAATTTAAAAGTATCGATAGAACTCTCAATAATATGCACAATAAAAAGGAAAAGATCCACTCACCTGGAGTCCACACTATACTTCTCTAGCACGCGCATCGAGGCGTCCTGAATGATCGGTCCCTGTGGCCAATTATCAAATCACATCTCAGAACTCTTATCCGTGGAATACGAAATTCACATATAACACAACCTCAACGACATTCTGAAATAGTTTGATACCCATTGACCACAAGTCAACCGTCGATCAAAGATCGACGGTAGGGTTTACAACCCTGTATAACTTGACCCGGAAGATCCGCATATCAGATTTTCAATCCACAACTCCCAACGATCCACAATATGTTTCTAGAATAACATATTAAAATTTCATTACGATCCAACGGTCAGATCTCCGTCAATTGCCTAAAACAAGTGGCCGTGAACATTTGTTTTACTAACTTACAAATCCAATTCAGGAAGATCCGTAAGTCGGATTCCCGATCCGTAAATTCCTATAATCTTTAAATATTACATATTATAATGTATCCAATTTTGATGACGATCCAACGGTCGGATCATCGATTCACATTTTTATCAAGTAACGTATCATAACGAATTTAGGTTCCAACGATCAACCTACGTCATTCAAATGACAAAACTGAATTCAAGACATTTGACATAGCCTAAAAATAACATTGGCGGCCCACTGGCCACGCGCCGCCGCACGCGCCGCCGCGGGTGGCGGTCGGCCGCCCCGACTTGCCGGAAAATTCAACTATTTCCAAAAATTCTCAAACTTCACAGAAATGAAGATCTCAGTGAGTGGAGCAACTTTCATACCTGCCACGAAGTCCAAAAGTGGACGGAAGATGGTCAATTTTGCCCACGAAGCCAGCGGGTGCCTAAAACTTCCCGACGTCGATTCGTCGTCTACGGTGGTCCAACGGGGTCAAGGTTGGTTGGGTTTTGCTCCTGGGATGATGGTCTACAAAGCCCAAGTGGTGGCATCGGCCATTGCTTTGCCGATTTGCCGGAAAATCGAGAAAGGTGGCCGGAGCACCATTGATTTTCGTCAACTTTCGTGGCCTCAAACTTCCACATCCCATGGTTAATCAAGGTGGTTCTTGGGTGGGTTTTGTAGAGGGGAATGAGAGCTTCAAGATGGTGGTGGTGGCATCGAAAAACTCCACCGGAGTTGGCCGGAATCGACCTTGGAACATGGGCACCCGCGGTGGGTGCGGGTGGACGAAAACCCATTTCCTCTTTTTTTTTTTTTTTTTTTTTCTTTTCTCCCTCCATTTCTGATTTGGCTTCCCCCACAAAGTGGGGATTTAATTTAAATAAACACTAACCTTGAATAACCAATTTCGAACGTCCGTAACTATACCGTTATAATCCGGACTCGCAAACGGCTTTCGCCTATAAGTTCGTACCAATGAGTACTACGAGGATATGCTAAAAGAATAAGTCCCACATCTTTCAAGTCGATGGTCAACGGAAGTCAAAGTCCTTTCCTCTAGGGCAATTTCGTAAATTCACGCTTTTAAAATAAAATAAAAACGTAAAATTTGGAACGGGTTGTCACAATCTACCCACCTTAAGAAAATTTCGTCCTCGAAATTTAAAATCATCAGTCGAATGTAGAATACTCAAAATTAAAGAGATATATGCATCTAAATACATACACGAGGAAGACATCAAGTTATAGCGACTACATAAAAGAGGATGACATTCCGTCATTATCGGAGTGTTATGACTCTTCTTTCATGCCTCCAAATTCCTACTTTCCTTCTCTTTTACATAAACGTGTTCAAAGCATAACGCACTTCGCAATTTAGCATGTAGTATTTTTGGGTCAAGCCTAAACAACAATTAACGAATTAAATAAGTAAATACAATTATTAACGTAGAATAATCTACTTGTTTATTTGCTTAATAACCCAACGAATAAGTTATTAATATTATGGTATGCAGTTCACAATATCGACAATTCACTGTCGTCTTGATAAGCAAGTAACAATTCCCGAGGGTGCAATATTACCATCTTGCCCCTCAATGGAAAATACACATACCAGCCTCGATCGTACTCATTCACTACCTTCTGAGGCAACATCGTCAATAACATAAATTTTCTACATCACAATCTCAATTTGTTCGCAATAATCTGTTGTAAATCACAAGCTGCACATACAATATTTGTATTATATTTTGAAGGATACCATACTCCTAAACAGGAATGTAACCGTAGTTACCCATAATTCTAACAAAAGTATGCGTCCATTAAATATGCGATGTGCGTAAAATCTCCATACATCAACCCCAATGATACCATAGTTAACCCGAAATTGTAACTATGGTTACAAATGACTAGAATGGAGATAAAGATATACTGCAACCATGCTACTGGTGGGACAAACAAGATGCAACTCGTCCACAAAGGTCTGAGTAACTCATTTCAAATTAATCGTTAATCTACGGTTAGAAATGCGATACTGAACAACTTCCAATACTCAAAACCTTCATAACGACTTCCAAAAGCTTGGAAGTGAAACATGTAACACGATGAAATATAAATACACCAAGATGATAATCTTGTCAGGTTTCTATTTGTTGAATTTGTATAGAAGTCTAGGAGTAGTTTTCTCAAAAAGTCATCGTCCTCTGGACGCAATTAGAAAATTGTAGTTGCCCAAGGAAGTTTGAACTCTATA